TACACACATCCTGCTTACATATGTTTGCAGTTGACAAAAAGACATACTTGCTCAGACCAACTAGTTAGTTTCTATATACCTATTTTTTTTTAAAGAACTTTCTATATACCTATTAATTTGTGTGCAAAGAGATTAGGAAATATACATATATCCACTTATATCATACTCCTGCTATGTGATCGTATAATTTATCGAGTTTCATGACTATCTTTGAGAATCCATAAAAATGTATAATTTTAATATTTGACTAAAACTGGCCATCCATCCAATCCACCGAATTAAGGAGGTGATAACGTGCTAGCTCCCCTATTTTTTCTCCATGGCTGCAGCACCACCTGCATATATAGTCTACAGATATAGTAACGGAGATTTTAGAGTTTCGAAGCAAGAAATTAGAAGGTCAACAAGAAGCAACACCGGCACACTCGCTGCTGCACCTGTATGCAAAGGTGACGGCCTGAGATCATGGGGCCGTGGAGGCCAGAGAGCATGAGTGTGACTCAGTCGTTGTTAGTGTAGGAATATCTCTTGCCCCCATCATATCACTCCATCAGAAACTGCACCCACGCACCACATCTTGTGCATGCACAAATAATTTTGGAGATTTTGGCCTTGTCACCACCATCAGTTACAGGTTTTGGTCACTCGCTGTGCTTGTCGATCTGGTGCGTGCGTACGTGCAGGATCGCATGCAGCTGGGCGTGTTTCGTTCGATCGGTTGCTCAGGACATGGGCAGTACGATGGTGATAAGCTGGAGTCTTTTTTGGTTTCAATCTCGACGCAGAAGTCAGGACTCACCACCATGAAGAGCAACAAGAAAAAGATGGACAATATATAGGTTACAACAACCTTAAAAGTGTATTTCTTAGTACTATATCTATATATGTCACTTCGAAATTAAACCATGAGATGATGAATTAATGTGTAGTGCGCTACGAAGCGGTATAGCAAAATCCCTTCGTCATTGTCGCCAAGGGTGCAACGTACACACTACACAAACTTGAAGCCCAGTACTGTATATTCAAGGGTACATAGATTCATGTGCGTGTGTGCAGCTTCACATATGCTTTGCGATGAAATCAACAACACGAAACAATATTGGCGGGAAGAAGGAAACAAAACACGGCAACAATATTGGCATGTATAATTGAGCTGAAACAGGCAACGGCATCTTCGGCGCGTGTGGACCTAGCTTTCTCTTTCTGTTAGGAGCACACGGTACGTCTCGTACGTGCATGCTGTTGGCAGGCAGATCGAGGCAGGCAGCTGGCCGGCCGTTTGTGCTGCTTGCATGGCATTTGTGGTACGCATCAATCAGCCCTGAAGACTCTACTTGCGTGTTGTGCCAGTGTCGACACCCAATTATATTTTACACAAGTAAATAGTAAATATTGGAGTCGTCTAGCCAATGTCTAGATTTTTGCTATAACTAAGTTATACATAATCTAATGTATATGAAATTTTTACTATAGTTCAAACATAAAACAATTAGCACACCATAAAAATTTCACTATAATTCAACCATAAAACCTCTAGCTATTGATTATTCCAATTAATTACAGAAAAATATAGAACTAAAGCTACAACAAAAACTTTATACTAAAGTATACCATATTATATGTTCACCGTGTAGTTCTACTTACGTGGAGTCCAATAAAATTGGTCTTTCATTTTATGATTTTTCTATAATTGATTATGATGATTTTGCAAAGATTCAGCCGAAATAAAAAAAGACAAACTGTCTTCAAACCCACTTATAACCGGACCAAGAGATAAGATGAATGGTTTTAAAATTTGAAAAGGAATTTGTTTTAGAGTTCAGGAAGAAAAAAACGGACATTAATTTTTTTTTGTGCATAGTTTTTCCTATAGATTATGTCCTTGTTCTGCTTCCTCCTATACTGTTGTGTTAACGGGCCTAGGCCTGTTTTGGGTAGGAGAATCCATTGTCCTCGTCCTCCTTCTTCCTCCGTCAGTCCATGGTCCATCCTTCCTTGCCGCACCTGCTTTGTTGTTGTTCGTTCTGGCGGGGATGGATGGCGGCGCCGCTCCTCTTCACGATCTCGGCCTCCTCCAGGTCCTCCTCCTCCTCTGTTGACGGGGCAATGTCGGCTTCGAACTCCTCTTCCTCCTCCCGCCTCCAACTCTTAGCGCGCCACGGCGCGCCTCGAGCTTCGGCTACGCCGCCGCGCTCTCGACCCCCCACTGCGGCCTCCTCGCCGACTCCCATTGGCGCACTTTGAGCCTTCGCGCCCTCTCTCTCTCCCGCTCCATCCTCCGCCGCCCTCCCGCCGCCGCTTCGCCCCCCCTCGGCCGAGTCCTTCCGCATGAGTACACCAAGATAACTCTCTCCTCGACTCATTGCCACATCGCTTCTCGCCGCCTCCTCCGCCTCCCGCCTCCTCAGACCCACGACCTCGTCGCAGCCCGCCCCTCACCCAGGCCGCATTCGATCACCTCTGTCAGGCACCCCTCTCAGCTCAACACCTTGATCTCATCTCCGTCGATTTCTCCTCCCACGGTAAGCTGCCCTTCCGCATCAAGCCATGAGGTTTTATTTCACTGTGACAGGAGTTTGCTGTCAATTACCATCCCTGAATCATTATGTAACAAGGGAAGATCAAGAAATCTCATTTTAAAGTTTTGATCTAAAATGCAAATCCGTTTACCAATCAGTTGTAATTGTACATATGGAAAACAGAGCCATACCTGAAAGGTGGAAAATTTTCTTTTTTGTTCGTCCATATGTAACCTAGGTCTAACTTTCCCCAATGCCACTACAAATCTCAACTTTCATGTTTTGTACAGTAAAACTCTCCTTTTGGTTCCTACTTTCATGTTTGGTGACTTTAATGAAATTAACCTTGGACAAATTAATATATATACTGATCTCACCAATGACTAATGGGACAGGCAATTCCACCTGGCTCACTACCTTTAATACACAAGCTCATGAAATCTGGTGAATATTGCAGCAGATATGTTTTAAGATTAACCATTGACTTATAGTACCATGATTCTGGAAATAAATAGAAATGTAGGTCAGGGAAAACTAGTGTTGGTTTTACTGTTTCACAAATGTGCAAAGTTTCAGAACAATCTGATTTATGTTTTTTCACGTAGCAGGCTTAGTAATTCTGCCCTAATTTGATTCTTATTAGGTAGTTACATTCTTACCAAGTATTGTGGACTTTATTGTAAATGGAACAGAAACATTTGGCTGCATATTTTCTCATGAAGTGTTCTGTCATGCTAATGCTGAAATTAGGAGGATATTAGCCTATTGGCCTAATCCTTTGATCAGCCTGCCATGGGTCAATCTGACACTTGATTCTTCACTGCCTGTGAAACATGATTTCATATATTCTTGTTGAAATAGATATTGTTGGCATTTGTTGCTAGATCCTTATTACAGGATGCTCTACACTAACAAATGTGTACAATCATCAATGTTGGTGTATGCATATGTAACTAAAAGAAAACCCATTTGAATGTGTTTGCATTTCTATCCTTGAAACACCTTTACATAGAGCACGGTGCAGCTTCTTCCTTGCTTAACTGAAAATAAACCTGCACGTGACCACCATGTATGGCCATTATATTATTCTTAGGCTTTGCTGGCTCTCTGAAGTTATGTTATTCCTACTCATCCTGATATCCTCTATACCTATAACAATACTGAAGCAGTAAAAGTGTTGTTTGCCTTGAAATAATATGAAGCAATGGTTACTAAAACTAGATTCATCACATAACTTTTTTATACAAAATGTAATGTCATTTTAGTACCTGGCATGGTGGAGCCTGCAAAATTATAAATTATTGTAAACAGACATTGTAGCATATGGTGCTCCCATGTTGCCACAGTATAGCAAATCAACCACTATATGAACCAGCTAGGCTGTTCTCAAATGCCTCTGGAAAGATTGAGTTGGATGTGCATATTTCTTGTTTTTCTTTTTCATTCTACTTAGTATTTTATGGATGTAGTTTAGGGTTTAAACTTGAACTCCTAACAATTTTCTCTTTAAAAATAGATTGTATGGAAGGGAAGATAAGCGCAGATAAAGTACAGTAAGCTCCGCTTACATTGCTTTGGCTTTTCAAAAGCATTTGTTTCCTGATTTTGGATGCATTAACAGTTGATAGCATTATTTTTGGAGGCCAAACAGCAATATCCTATTATAATGGTACAAGATTCCACTACAACTACTTAGCTATTACAGCATAGCACATGAACCATGAAATGACCATGCTTCTATTTGATGTGAAAAGTTTCTAGAGACCATGATCGTGATAAAAAGCCATACCCCACACTTGCACCTGGAGGAAGATTTGGGCAGGACCAAAATCTTTCCTCCATATGACACATCCCACCAGAACGGGAGGTCTTATAAGCCTCCATCTATGTGCCTCCTTCAGCTAGAGCTTATGACATTTGAAATGACCGATTTGTTATTCTTAACTTTATTTCATATGCATAACTTTATATTAGAAATACTATTGGAGTTAAATAACTCTGTACTTGACTACCTATTATTTCCATAGTTGTGTTGCGCATCAACTAAAGAATCATTGCATCACCGCTGGAGGTCGCGGAGGATGGCGAGGTCGGAGCGGATGAGCACCACATCGCCGTGGCTGAGCACCCCCTCCTCCTTGGAGCCGCGGCCGGAGGCGGAGGCGGAGCCCATCACGGCGGGCGGCGACTGGTGGGATGGGATGCAAGCGAGGAAGGATCGTGGGCCGGGTGTGGCTGGGCCTTCATCCTCTTTCTATCTATCTAGGCCCAAGGCAGGCACAGCCCACAAGGAAGGATCCGACCCCTTGAATTAATATGCCTGCAATGACCATTCACCCTCTCGCGCAACAACAAACCCTAAACCCAGGCCTCTGTCCTCCTCTCGCGCGCCGCCGCCCGCCCGCCATGTCGCCGCCGCAGCCGCCACACCCGGTGCCCTGAGAGACGGTGGCCAGCGCCGTCGCCTCCCTCACCAAGTGGATGAAGAAGCGCGCCGCAGAGGCGCGCCCGAACCTCCTCGCCGACGAGCGCGACGACCTCGTCGTCCTCCAGCTCTCGCTCCGCCGCGTCCCGGCCTCGCGCAGCACCAGGCCTCGCCTCCTCCCGCTGCCGCATCCCGTCGTCGGGCACGACGTCTGCGTCATCTCGGACGATCGCCCCAAGTCGGGGTCCCCTTCCGCGTCCGACCTCCTCCACGCGTCCAAGCTCCCCGTCTCCGAGGTCATCCCGCTATCCACACTCCGCACGGACTACCGTCCCTACGAGTCGCGGCGCCGCCTCGCGGCCTCCCACGCCCTCTTCGTCGCCGACCGCGCCATCCTCCCGCTGCTGCCGCGCGTCCTCGGGAAGGCCTTCTACTCCACCAACAAGGCTCCGATTGGAGTCGATTTCACCCGCGTTGATGGCCGGAGCAGGTCCGCAAGGTCCTTGGCTCTGCTTTTCTGTACCTGCGCTCCGGGACCTGCTCGGGGATCAAGGTGGGTAGGCTGGACATGGAGGAAGAGGAGATCGTGGACAATGTGATGGCCGCGGTGGAGGCGGCTGTCGAGAAGGTGCCAAAGATGTGGGCCAACGTTAGGGCGCTGCATCTCAAGGCTGTGGATTCAGTTGCCCTACCAATTTACCAGGTTGTGCCAGAGTTGGGTATGAAAATTGTTGGATCTGGGGAGGTTAGCACTGTGGCTTCTGCTGATGACAGCCAGAAGGTTGGCAAGAAGGGAGACAAGGGCAAGCGTCGTTGGGAAAATGAAAACAAGGTGAAAGAAGCCAGTTTGGACAAGAAGAAGATTAAGAAGGGGAAGACTGAGGAGGGGGAAGAAGAAGAAGAGCATGAAGGTTTCCTCTGAAGTTGTTTCTTTTGGTTTTGTTAGCTTAGTAGCCCTTTGAGTTATAGAAGTATGGCAAAACTGTTTCTTGCTAAGACTATGTACTTCGCTCGACTTGCAACAATTTTGTGTTGATTCTCTAAGAATATGCTTATGTTGTCACGACATTGTGTTGATTCTCTATCTTGGAGAATGTATTTTTAGTCTCATGTTTTCTTCCAGATTCCTAGATCAAGATTTTAGCATCTTGAGTTGTTGTGATTAGTACCACGCCTTCACCGCTGAGTCGCCTATGCCCTGGCTGCCGTCGGCTCCGGCGCCTGGGCACGCTCACACCATTGGGGGGCAGAAGGCGGTGGATGAAATGGTGGACGGGTTTGGGGTCAGGAGGCTGCAGGGGCTCCTCGGCTCTGCGGTCGGGCAGGCGGCCGAGATGGATTGGATGTACGCAGGGATGCTCAGAAAGCTGGAGAAGCTCGCCAGGGAGGTTGGAGAAGAGCAATCTCCGTGTGCTCGAGCAGGTCTGGTTCTCCAATCCTGTGATTCCTGTCTGCACTGTTGATGTTCATCATAGATTTCGATTCTCCATGAACAACTGTGATTCTGTGTGATTGATTGGCTTAATAATTGGTTAAACTGCCTAGTGCTAGAATTGTCCATTGTTAGATAGAGAGACTGTGAATTTGTAGCAGTTGCATTGTGGATTTTTTGTCAACACTCAACATGGGAAACTTAGATAAGCCTTGCATAGCGGGATAGGGGGGCAGCTAAACTGCTTATGCTAGAATTGTCTTGTAACATTAGATTCGACCATTTAACAGAAGGCAGCTATTTTGGTTCCACTCAGCATTCACCATAGGTTGCCTGAATTCTCCCAATGCACTCCTTGTTTTGAACCAGCTGCATGCATTAGTATAGAACTATCCGGTAACAGGATAGGAGGCACTTGTAAAGCTGCAGTATCTATTAGATAGCTCTTCATTTTTAAGTGAAAACTGTTAGAATTTTGATGATCTACAAAGCCAAAACAGTTGGGTATAGCAGGTCTGCAACTATTGTACTATTGATTAATAATTGTATTTGGCAAGAGACATCACCAACTAAAAAGTTGGGGAGGATGGGAGGAGAGGAACCAAGAATATCAGTTCCAACATGCCATAAATGGATGACACAAAATGGTGTTTTGAATTCCTTAGCTGCTTAGGTCTGTTTGAACATTATTACAACAGTTGGATTGCGACTATAATCTATATTTACAGTTGACTAAAGCCCTAAATTGGCATTTCATACTGATTGCTTCCGTTTAACAGTTACCTGAATATTCAAGGCAGATTGCATGTACTCTTCTGCACCTTCCTTGTTTCAAACCATTAACGTGCATTGTAATGGAAGTTTCTGGTAACAAGCTAAGGAACACTACCTATTAGGCAACTCCTGTATTTTTTTTCCTTTTGGCGAGGAATAACTCTTGGAGTCTTGGTAGTTTATTAAGTCATATCAAATGGGCACCGGGGGCTTGGAGTTGCTGTATTATTGATTGAAAGGGGGAAAGGAAACAAGAATCTCAATTCTAGTATGCCCAACATGAATGATGCAAAAATGCAACAGCAAGCCAGCCCACCTGTGGACTGTGGTATAGAGATCATCTGATAGGGCTTACCGTCCTAGGGGGACTTACATTGTTGGAAAATGGGATGATGGCTTATGTTGGGAAACACCATAAAATGTTTGGTGAGGTTGTGGTGATTGGGGTTTTGCGAAAACAACTCTTGTGAGATTTTAGGCTTTCTGCTTTTCTTCATGACAAGCAAATGCAGTAGATGGTGAGTTTAAGAACAGAGATCGATGAAAATGATAAAGGCCTATCTATATAGTTACTCGTACTTGTTTTTCTATTTGGTTGGTTTGCTACATATGAGGAGCATCGTTTCCATTTTGTGATTTGGTACCCTGTGAAAATTACACCATGAGCTGGGGCTTTTAGGGCCTATCTGTCAGGTGCTAAATTGCTGAACTACCATAAGTGCTTGCTCTCTGTTATACTTTGTTATTAAAATGACTTGGTCTGAAAACTGAAAAGATTAATCCTTTGCTGCATAAAAAAGTTGGAGCCCTTATCCTCTGATCAGATTTTTATTTATGCCCCCCTTCCCCAGTTATTACTGAGTGAATAGCGGACATCTGCTCATCAGTTATTGATATATGTCCTTTGACTCCATTCTTCAATTGCTTTCTGAAGTCAACTCCCTTATCTTTTGTTCTTGTTATTTTGTATGTAGGAGAAGAGGAACCTGCTGCTGAGGTATAAATATGGAATGGAATAGGACCAAAGCGCTTTTTGGTCTTAGCAATGTATGTATGCTGACTGAGTTAAAGGGTTTTATCAAACCTTTTCTTAGTGTGTCATGCAGATTTGTGATGACCTGAATGTTCATTAGTAATTCGAAGTCATGCTCCTGCTTTGATAATATTATATTTCATGTGCCATGTATTGTTTTGTTACTAACTGCTATTGTTAGTCTGAAGATGTCTGTACCTAGGGATGAAAGCAAACAGGATTTCATCCCTAGGTACAGACATCTTCAGACTAACAATACGGGATCCGGACCATTTTCGTATTTGCGGGAAAATATAGTAACGGGATGGGAGAGGAGGTTTCCTTCCTGTTTCTAGCCGTTTTCATCCTTCTGTACCATATCTTTTTTGAATTTAGACAGAAAATGGTTGGAACACTGCCCTTCTTATAAGACAATGGATAATAATTACCTGGACACAGTCTGGTAGAGTATCCTGTTGGAAAGTTATGTTAATAAACAGTTATTGGGACTGATTCAGGTCAAGGTTCTTCGGAACAGCATGAACCATGCAGTCCAAAAAGCTGCACTTTACTGCTCTCCTAGTACAGTAGCCAGTGCATGTCGATCTCTCCATTTGCATGCCAGGATACCCTGGGGCTGATCAAGACTCTCTTCTTGAAAAACATCTGTCAGATTTTGCATAATTCGCATGTTAGGGGTCGATAATAATGTGCATAGGATGAGACTGACAGGGGATCGATCATTAGGAACTGCGAAAGTTTGTGTAGCGGTGATGTAAGATGTTGCGAAACCATTCCATTGAACCAGCCCACATGATAATCATGGTCGTGCATGCTATTAGCTTTCAGTCTTGTAATAGCCTATTAGCTTTCAGTCTTGTATAATAGCCTATTAGCTTTCAGTCTTGTAATAGCCTATTAGCTTTCAGTCTTGTTTCACAGGTCGTGCATGCTCAACTTGAAATTGTTAATTTGTGCATGCACGCAAACCAATACATATCCCAAGCAGTGAATAACATGAACTTTTCACTAAATGAAGTCCCAATCACGCTCTTCTTCGCCACTTTCTTCTGGATAAAGAATAGTGTTGTGCCCAGCAATGAAGCTACCGCAATTAGGATGTATAAGATCTTTTGCCCGAAGTTGACACCCTTTGCAGCGAGCTTAAAAAAAGACAAATGCGTCAGTGAATGGTCAATGGAAATGAAAAAAAAACATATGAAAAATAAACATATAATGTTGGAGCATATATAGTGTACTAATATAGAGAATTGAAGGAGATGTGAAGATGAGCAAATGTGAAGGTACGAACCTTGGTCATTCTTTTTGATGGATTGCAGTCATCCTCACCCAAAGGCTTGCAGAGATAAACATCTTATCTGAGATTATGATGCACTTCAGCAAAAAACATCGTATGTTTACCATCGAGCCCTTTCACTAAAAAGTTGAGATGCAAACGATTAGCGAACCGTAGGTCCACTGCTATGGTATAGCAGGGGGTATAGTATTTGAAAAACTCCTACCGGTACCCCGACTGGAACTCATAAAGGGCTATTCTGATATAGAGGAGTACTCGGCTTAGAAAGGCTCTAAATTATAGACTTTTGTAACCTTTTTAGATAAGTGTGGAGGAAGTAGTAGACTTCACAGGTCCACAAAAAACCCCCGACTTCAGCAGCACCTTTGATAGCTTGATGGAAGAAATATATGTATGCGGTGGGCACACGAACAAAATAATTAATAGCGTACCAAAGTTATTATTTATTAACTAATAATAGGTGCTCCACTATTTCTTTATTAATACAAGTTACAGCAGCATTGCTTTAGCACATCCGAACGCAAAGACTACTCATAACCCAGTAAAACAGAGACTGCAGCACAGACGCTCAAATACTAGAGCTACACAATGGATACTTACCATAATTATGAAGGGCGACACCTTGATTCCAGCACCTAAAGTTCAACAGCATGGCATCGTCGGCAAGTCTCAACAACACTTAGCTTTACCATAGAGGGAACTTTAGGCTCAATGTACGTCCTGATGGCCAAGAGCGCTCGTTGAGCTTCCATGAGAACATGAACGGGCAATGGGGAGCACTTGTTACTTTTATTAGCATTAGCAGACTCGGAGCACCTAGAAGAACTCTGATGGGTCCTCAATGTAAGGCATTCAAGTGATGTCACGCTCTCAACAATATGGCATGTTAGCTCAACAAGACTCTTTGCTGATGTGAATCCTATGATCTCCACTGTCTTCATCTTGTGGTGCTGCTGTCCTTGCATCTTCCTCAGATCCGAGGGATCGGCAAATATGGAGACGTGTTCCATTTTCAATTGGGATACCTACATAAGATGAAAAAGGGGAGAGAAAAAAAGTTATAGTCATGGTTCTGGAGTGTTAGCTATTGTTACCATAGTAATATGAGTGTCAACTTACAAACAAGACCAAAGTCTCCAAGCAAGGGCAACCATCAAAAAAAGAAACAAGAGAAAAAATAATCATAGGGCGGAGGAAAGGTTGCAGCGCTAAGAATAATATTAAGGTTTTTGAGGTGGAAATATTTGCTATGCAGCAATGGCGTATTGATCTGCGAAAAAAGATGAACAGGTCAGTTATACTCCAAGGTATATGATATGACTGCTGTAAGTATGTAGCATAAAAATATGAGTATTGCTGGTCCAGCCAAAACAGTATACCTCACTTCTTGAATATATAGTGGCAATTTTAAGGTTTGGCATGCTGGACGGAAGTTCAGCACAAACGCAATGAACTGCGCCAGAGAAGGACAAACTTAGCTCCTTCATTTGCAATGTTTCTCCGAGTGACAGTTGAATGCGGTCTCCTTCATAGCAAAAACTGGAAACATTTGGAGCTTTGCTTTCTATAATTTTCAGCTTCCAACAACCTAAAACCTCTAGGTACCTTAGGAGCTGCAGCGTGCAAGGGACCTTCAAGCAACCTATCCCTCACAATACCTGATTCCCAAGCCCTCCAAGGCAAAAAGAATTGGAGAGAAGGCACCCTAACTCATCCCCAGTAAAACTGACATAATAAAGATGCAGTTTTGTCAGGCTTCTTAAACAACCAAGTTCAGTTTTGGGACGGAAGGAGCAACCAGTAAGGTATAGGTATTGGATTGAGTCTCCACTCCCATTAGAAAAGAGTGAGCATGGGACATTGTATTTTGCTCTCCTTGGCATTGAAAGTGAAAGTTCTTCGATTCCTGATCTAACAGCAATCTGGAGCCAACTGTCGACATAACCATTGTAACCTCCAAGCATCTGAATATTGAGTTTCTTGACACCAACGCCTGAATGCCTTTTCAGAATCTGGTCAACTTTGCTACAGAAATCTCTGGCGATATCATCATTTTCATATTCCTTCTTATTCGACCTCAGCGTCTTCACACTGAAAGTGAGGTTGGGATGGCATCTCCAGGAACGTAGAAAAGCACGAGACACACAGGCAGCTCGGGCAGCAGATCGTGATTGGCATCAGGGAATGTATATGACACCAGATGTCCTGCACGCATGTTACAAAAGCATGGAAGAGAAATTCAGCATTAAGGAAAATGGTTACTCTAGATGGAGAAAAAAAGAACTGAAGAAAACTATGACAACGTAACCCAGGTTCTGCGCACATTGTTGCACAATGGGTTTTCAATGGCCACTTCAAAAACACAGTATGCAACTAGAGCTGATTAAATACTTCGAAATCTATTCATACTTCTTCACTTAAAAAAATATGCATGTATGTATGTATGTATGTCAATACATGCTTCAAAATCAGGGTAGATTGGACACAGCAAACATGCACGTACGGAGTTATGGGCAGGGTATCAAACTACCAATGGAGCATCTTGATATATTATTAAACTAACAGGAGGCCCATGCAATTGTGTTGTACTCCCTCCATCCCAAATTATAAGGCATTCCAAGAATCTTGGAGAGTCAAACTTTTTCAAGTTTGACCAAATTTATATAAAGGGCGTACCCAGTGCAGAGAGCTCTCACTCTGTGCGGGGTCTGGGGAAGGGTGTCAGTGACAAGCCTTACCCTCGCCTGTGCAATGCGTGGAGGCCGCGACTCGAACCCGGGACCTTCCGGTCACAGGCGGTAAGACTCTACCGCTTGCACCAGGCCCGCCCTTCTTTGACCAAATTTATATAATAAAATAATAATATTTTTATACCAACTAAGTATCATTAGATTCGGTATTACTTATATTTTCATAGTATATTAATTTGATGTTATGAACCTTTGTATTTTTTTATATAATCATTGGCTAAACTTAAAATACTTTGACTCTCCAAGATTCTTAGAATGACTTATAATTTGAAATGGAGGGAGTATCCATCAACTTCGTCAGCCACAGTGCAAGAGACATGATATAAACCTTAACCACTGAAGTGTGATATGATAACAGGCTGAACCCACCCACCCCCCAATGATCTTCATCATATATGTACCCTAATCACTAGAAATTAGATAGAAATTAGCCAAGTATCTTTGTAGATCTAGCAAAATAGCAAATAAAAAAAATCTATTCATCCAATGGTTAATAGGTTCTAAATTAGTCATAACTCCTCTAGCATCTACTGAGAGGGCCTTTAAAGAAATGGAACTTGGCAGATAAATACTAGAAGTAAGATTGTAGATGGGTTTTTGCATGTATAATTATACATATCTTTGCTTCTCATTTATTTTGCTGTTCCATGAAATTTATCGACACTTAGTTGGTTGGTTCTCGGTAGGCCAGCCCCCACCAAATATCTGAATCCTGGCCCTGCCCCTGTGAACAGGATAGTAAAAGAGTGCTATCCTACAAGGGTATGCACTATGCAGGTCTAAATCACAAGGAATTGCCTGTAATGGTCCAATGGAGATAACATGAGACACATCAAGGGAGACAGTACTAAATGATGGTGCCTTTACAGACATGTCATGGCAAACCTAAAAGGGAACCATTTTATTAGATCATACTGCCGCCATTCCGGTTTAGCTTTTTTAGATACAATAGCTTTCGTTATGCACTTAGATAAAAACTATGTCGGATACGGATACATAGTAAAAGCAATGTATCTACAAAAGCCAAAACATCTTGTAATTCAAAAGCGGATGGAGTAGATTCCAAGGATTTTATAGATGACATAACGACTAGTGGAAAGCAAAATCTATTGATGGTAGGTTGAGAGGCTCCAAGTCCAAGAAATTCCAGCTTTTACACATTGGAGGCCAGAAGAAGGTTTCAGTGTTATTATTGTACTTATTTAGGAGCAAACACTAGCTGTTCTTAAAAGTTATGCACAGTTGGAAAAACACAAGGGTTTGGGAACCATTGTGACACATGTTTTACTGACATTTCAGTAGCACTAAGCCTACCATTAACAAAATGCCATGGCGTACCTCTGGAAGCCTAGGTATCTGTGCCTCACCACCTTGAGAATCAGCTTCTTGCTGGCAGGGTGAGACCTCATTATTATCCCGTGAAGCAACCAACCCATCTGCAGCACAGCATTGGTAATTATGAGTAATTCGGAAATTTGAGGCGCAAAACAACAAATGCACACAGAGGAATCCTTTTTTGTCCTCTTGTCAAACATCTGTTCAGTAATAATATTAACACAGACAGCTTGTTAAAACAGAGCATGCAGGTTTTTATCTTTTCCCCAGAGCGTGCATAGTAAGTAACCTCTCCTCAGGTTTTATCTTTCTAATGGAAAGGCGGGGCTCTGGCCCGAAAGCAGTTAAAAAAAAAGGTTTTGTCAATCTGGGCGCAGCCAAAGAAACAATACAGTGCATGCCATCAGCTACTGCTTTCAATTTCTCCTCCCTCACAAGGAGAGGCTCTCATCTCGGATTTCACTTACTTATACAGGTAATATAAAAGGAAGTAACGAATTCAATTGAATGTATTACTGTATTGTATTGTATTCTCTGAAATCTCCTTGGAATAGATTTTTTTTTTCTGCAAACAGATTCACATCAAAACTACAAGGCGGGAGGAGAAGAAAGTTTGGATTTTTCTATCATCAACCGGATTATATAAGAAAAAAAAACAGAGGAAAAGAAGGCGGCGGCTTACAAGTGGTCTCCGCTCGCCGACGAAGGCGGTCCGGCTGCCGCTCCATGGACATGTGCTGCATAAGATCTACAAGCCCCATGTCTTCCTCTGTGTAGAATATATATATAGATAATCTATATATCCCGGGCCGCCTTAAGGCGGAGTCGAATCACAATCCCTCCCTCTCTGCCTGCCTTGAACTGAAGATCCAGCCTCCGGCGTCTCCCCTCCGGGCTCCGGCCCTCCCTACTGGAGGAGCGTCAATTTGAGGGAGGGATTGGACTCAGATTTGGGAATCCCACCCAACGAGTTCGGTTCGATTTTGTACACTTGGACGGGCCGCGTTTGGAAGGACTTCGATTTTACACGGCTTCTGCTCCGGCTCTTGAGAGAGCCTTGCACCTGAAATACTGTAGCTTCGGCGAGGCCCTTCCGGTCCCGGAGCCGGAGCTGGACGACGAAGCCCCCAAAAATTAGCTTCTCTCGGCTCTCACCTGTGCGCACGCCAAAGACCGGCTGCGCTACCGCCCCGCCCGCTCGTGCGCCGCTCTGCCACTTGAACGCACCCGAATACGGGCATGGAAAAAGGAAGGGCCGAAGTGGATATATAGACGTGGCCTAACAGATGGAGTACGGAGTATAAAGCAAAGTATTACATTTATTTTTTTTCCTCAAAAAAAAAACAGAACTATGAATACCTCTGTAATGAACTCAAGTTACTGACTGAGGTCAATAGTTAAGCAGACAAAGGCATTATGGATATTCAACATGTTTCATCCATTCTAGAAAAAACAAGAAAAGATATTTTGCCAAACGTTTTTCAAAAGTGCTTTAGAGGAGCAAAAGCCAAAGCTATTATTTATGGAGGAGCCAAAGCGTTGCCAAAGAGATATTTTTGAGAATTACACAATACACCGTAGACACTCACAACATGCATGCATACTCACTCATATGATACACATACACAAACCATATCCATATGAACACCTATATGAACACACTTACATAAAACTTACCATGATAACATATTGCCATTAAATCCTAGAATAAACCCAGGAAAATACGAGTACCGTGCTAAATCGAGGATTTAAACATGGGTGGGTAGATTTCACCACAAAGAACTCAACCATATCTGATTGCTCTAATGTACACCCTTCATAATTTTTAAGTTTAATCAAATTTATTTATATATTGAATAGATCTTGCATTCTTTGGGACGGAGGGAGTGAATAGGTCCCCAATTGAGTAAACAAAGGCAATGATACATTTATGGGCCTGCTGGCAGCTGACTACAAGGATTGAAAAAAAATAGTTATAACTTATTGTAGTACTAGCAAATGCCTATGCATTGCATGAGACTATTAAAATATATATTGATAGATTTTTATTTTATAATTTATTTTTGATGTCTATGATAAGCATAATATAAATTGGTGCTTGTAATATTATGAGTTATTACAATGCTCTATTAAATCCATATTAAATTAAAATAGAATTTTAATAGATTTTCTCTCTCATTGTAAAGACATAAATATTTACACTCGATATAACATAACTTTTTCCACATTAACCATGTGTGGTAGAGTTAAATATCAATTTTCATGGTTTTCTATAAGAACATTGAAAATATCCATACCTAATATTTGTTTATAGACAGAGGTTAGGGTTCAAAGAAGAATATTTATAGTAATGGTGTACGTCCGTTGCAGCTAAAGTACAACTTGTGGCGTAGTCACCTAAACAACTTGCGGCTCAAGATTTATTTAAGAATCGCGTCATCTATCCTAATACATGTTGGAATCGGACGCTGTAGCATTGTTGGGTGAATCTTATAGTAGGACGCTATATCATCGATCATCATAGACATTGTGCAATCGATCTTGCGGCAAGGCAGTGATGCAAATAGGAGGTAGGTTTATTTATTCTATTCGAGTCTGATCAGAACCTTTCACGTGATGGATTTCACTAGTAGAAAGGAGCGCGCATTCGCGCGCTCGTGCAGAGAAAAATGAGTGCTATGATGTGTTATGAAGCACTTAGATAATGTGATATGCAACCTCTAAAGTTAGGCCAATCCCTCTCCTTTATCCAGTAGCCCAAGAACTAAACCTTACAATGACATAAGAAATAATCAAGGCCAGTGCATACACTATGTTTAACAATGCACGTTTATTCAGCAAAGGTTAACTGAGAAACAGGATTATATTATTACAGAAACGCAACACCAGTGGTGGCACAATAGAGCATGTCATTTGTGTCTAAGCAATGAAGACATATTAAATGAACGAAAAAATAAATCCATTCCTACATTTTATCATGTTTGCCAAGAAGAATTACACAATTGAAGTGGTTGGGTTAAACAAGAACTCATCATACTGTCCTAGCTGGCTGTCCTTGCTGCCACCATTTCTCCATCTGCTTGCCTAGCAACAATCAGAACTCATAGGTCCGAAAAGAAAAGCGAGTTACATGCAAATACCTTCTCACACCCCAAAATTTCTAATTTTGGGTTGTGCATAGAAAACACTAATTAAAATAAATGTTTTGATATTTGGATAAAATTTACCAATCTTAGTTTGAACTAGCGTAAATTTAGTTATAGGAAAAATGTGAATTTTCAAGCTTTTCCAAATCAATTTGATGAGCTATTGCTTGATGTGATGCTTGGTTGTTGATTTATTTCATGTTGTGAGAAAAGATTTTTAAAATGCGTTTAGTAAGTCAATCTTCTTTCTCCAGCAATTCTTAGTCTTTCTCACCGATCAAATTCCTTGTTTTCCGACTTAATATTTGCTTGAGAAGTATCCTAAAATATTTTCCATGAAATCCAAATCACTCCTTCCTGCTCACTATTCATCAACCTATCTCCATGGATACCTCGGGAATTTCTTTGGCTTTTTTCGGAACTTGTTCTCACTTGTTTGTGAGCATAATCTAATTTTTAAATGCTCCAAAATATCTTTTCATGAGTTCCAAATACTTTATTTGGGTTCGTCTTGTTCTAAATTATCTCTGAGAATTTTCTCTGAATTTTCAGAGCCTTCGTAGTATTTTTCGTAGCTTAAAATTCAATTCTAGGCTTTTCTAGAATTATTTTATCCATGAAATTAATTAATTCCGAAAATAATGAAATATCTCAGATTTCCTCATGCCCAAAGGCCCATGTCTTTATTTACTAATGGGCTTTAATAATTAATTAGGTCTATTAGTAAAGATGGAGGGTGCAACATCAGTTAGTACCATATTGCTAGTTGATGTAGATGTGGGAAGTTTTTCTTTCTATATATATCTACCAACCCCTTGGGTAAAGCACACCAAAACTACCGTAAGGGGAGCCTCTAGTTTGGGAAATCCTTCGTGTAGTAAATTATATTTTTATGCTCTTTCTCTCGCTGTCGTCGTCGTCATCGTCGATGCCACCACCAGAATTGTCAGCCATGCCGCCATGCAGGATCTTTAACTCTGCCCGTTCATTGGTGAGCATCTGCATCTTCGTGTTTCCTTTCTTCTCTGCTAATTACACGGTGCCATTGAATACATACCGCTGCTGCATGCTGCTTTTGCATGTGTATATATACATCTATATGCCTCATCTACATACAGACAGTTAATCATGCATATTCACTAAAATACGTAAGTTCTCTTTTCATTTACCAAGTGCAGATATATGCATTGCATCTGTGCGTACCTTCTGCTCACCGGTACCTTTCAAGAGCACATTGATCATCTGCAGAATACAGCATCGCATGTACCGCTTTAAAAGCAGAGGCCTTCGGCCTTTACGTCTGGATGCTGCTGCCCCCGTCAGCCAAGCCCTATCTACCTGCTGACCGGTTTGCAAGATCATGATGCATGTTTTCTGGATATCGTGTAGCAGCTGGACATGCATGAAGGAAGCCAAGCTAAACAAGCTATGGTAATTCTGCAAAGTTCCTTCGCCTCTTGTTTATTCGATCAGCTATGTATATATCATGCATGACCCTGTGAATCCTCAGTTCATAGTTTAAATACACATCTGTACTAAACTATGCCGATGCCCTTTTATGGCTGTGGAAGCCGCTGCCACTCGGAGCCTTTCCAAGAACATAGGCAAAGCCGTCGTTGCCGTAGGAAGTGTGACATGTCTGCTGTCCACCTTCTCCAAGATCAGTCGAAGTCAATTTGGCTGGCCACGATCAGCTACAGCAAGGTAGAAGATGTAATTATTTACGATTTCGCCATCCTATTGTTAATCTCTGCCGTTTAACCGTTTTAATTCCGTTTCGAGCGATTCTAGTTGCGTTAGTTTCGTAATTTTGTGCTCTACGCAGTAGTAGTAAAGTTTATCATGTCAGTTAATTATGAATTTATTAACCTAATACTAATTTCATTAATAATTAGTTAACGGTTTCCCAATTAAAAACAAACAGTTTAATTTCGTTCTTGTTCTTTTACGACTGTGCTGATCATGAGGTACACGTTAGTAGGAAAATTTATCATGTTTCACATCTTTGAAATTTTATGAGTAAATAATAATTTGATTTGTGCTTATGCAATTGAGTTTCTAATTAAAAGTAACATAGGCATATACTTCGGTCTTTTATAAATTACTGTAAATCTAATTAATGTCACCCTTAATCTCTCTTGATTTATAAGTGATTTAGTTTAATCTTGAAACATAAGTGCTTTCGTTTAGTTATTATATGTTCTTTATCTTTTTGTGTTAAATGTTTAAATGACTTAAAGCATATGTATAATCTTTTATAATTATAAAATGACTTATGCCAACATTAATGTCTTTTTAATTATGACTTGCTTAGATCAATTATGAGACATAATATAATTGTTCTATTAGTTGCTCTCACATGTTCTATATATGTTGATTAATAAAATATGATTAATTAGTGACATAAACATGTATGTCTTTAAATTGTAATTTGCCAAGTTTAAATGTGACATATATACTTTGAATATATATACTCTCATTTGTTATTATATTTCAATTTAATTTGCATAAAAGATATCAAAATATTTATAATTAAGATATGATTAATTTATCTTAGTTTTCTAAATCTAATAACTCAAGTATAAAATGACTTAACTCAATTTTAGATATTCCCC